GGGCGCCGATTTCGCCGGCTCAGGCATTTTAAAACACGTACTAGAAAACACACGCGAGTGCTAAACACAGGCGAGCTAAAAGCGGTAGGGGAAGCAGAGCTTTTTATACCCTGGGTATGCAAAATAGCTGCTCTTTATTCGGGCTTTGTCAATGGTCGAAAGATGAAGGGTGTGTCGTCACTGTTCATTTAGCTTTTCTATTGGTTATAGCTCGATCCGTCTTCCTATTGGCTGCCCCGACAAAGCCTTTTTCTCAGCCTATCAAGGAAGACACTGCTTGTCCGCCCCAACTGCATATATACGGGCAGCGGGAGGTGAGTAATCCTATTGCTCCAGAGCCAAAAGGAAAAACTTTAGCGCTTCAAGTCGACATGTCCGGCCGCGGGAAGCAGGGCGGGAAGGCGCGCGCCAAGGCCAAGTCGCGCTCGTCGCGGGCCGGGCTGCAGTTCCCCGTGGGCCGCGTGCACCGGCTGCTGCGCAAGGGCAACTACGCGGAGCGCGTGGGCGCCGGCGCGCCCGTGTACCTGGCGGCCGTGCTGGAGTACCTGACGGCCGAGATCCTGGAGCTGGCGGGCAACGCGGCGCGCGACAACAAGAAGACGCGCATCATCCCGCGCCACCTGCAGCTGGCCATCCGCAACGACGAGGAGCTCAACAAGCTGCTGGGCAAGGTGACCATCGCGCAGGGCGGCGTGCTGCCCAACATCCAGGCCGTGCTGCTGCCCAAGAAGACCGACAGCCACAAGGCTAAGGCCAAGTGAGCAAAGCAGCAGAGCACCCGGGAAGCCTTTCCTAGAGAAACCCAAAGGCTCTTTTCAGAGCCACCCACTACCTCACGAAAGAGCTATATTACTTTTCTTGTATGGGTGTCTGTATCAGTGCTTATGACATTCAAGATTACTGGGAGAATCAATTACGGTTAAATAAAAAAAAAATTAAACTATGACTTCTCAGCTACTACTTCCTCGTATGAAAGCTATGTTCATTTCCTCCTTCTGTGTCTTATAACCCCTACGGATGGGATTGATTCAAATAGCAAACGAACACATAGCAGGCTGAGCTGTGCATAGCCGGGCTAGATAAAGCTATAAATTTTAATTCAATTACTGGCTACGTTGTACCTGTGAGTGGGGGGATAAATGGTAGAGAAAGGACCATAAGCTGATTTGCTAACAAGTGCGGATACTTTTCTTGCCAGATAACCCTAAATAGAATATAAACCTGCCTCTTTAAAATTACAGAAGTTATCGGTAGAAAAACTGCATATCAGAAGAAAATCACACGCAAATCACTCAGTATAAATTATTTCAGCTCCTTTTAGGAAAGCTTGGGTGGCTCTTAAAAGAGCCGTTGTTTTCGAGAGTGGACCAAAGAGCTTTCGTCCACGGAACGGGAGGGGGAGAAGGGTTACTTCTTCTTGGGTGCCGCCTTCTTTGCTTTGGCTGCTTTGGGCTTGGTGGCCTTGGGCTTTGCAGCTTTGGGCTTCACCGCTTTCGCCTTGGCCGGGCTCTTCGCTGCCTTCTTGGGCTTGGCAGCCTTGACCACCTTCTTGGGGCTCTTGGCAACTTTCTTGGCCGCGGCAGCCGCCGGCTTCTTCGCCTTCTTGGGGCTCTTCTTCACCGCCGCCGCCTTCTTGGGCTTCTTGGCGGGGCTCCCGGGGTTCTTGGC